TAAAATGTTCATATCTCACACTGTGATCTTTCATTTTTGGTTTTATTTAGTGAAGCAACGAGTTCTTCAGAGACAATCTCATGAGTTGCACTTGGAAGGAAAAGGCGTAGTGAAGTTGACTGTCACAGAGCCAGAAAGCACACTAGCTACTGGAGAGGGGACACCTGAAGAAAAACCAGCTCCCACAAAGGTGAACAAAACTTATAATCTCAACCAAACCTCAGAAACAGTGGTAACAGAATCACATCTGTCACTGATATTTTGCTTTCACTTTGTTTTAGGCTCTGGATGCTGTGAGCAACCTTCAAACAAAAGGTAAAATGCTATCCTCACTCTCTGATTCTTCCTAAAACAAAGATGTTGGTGCTCTTCTGCACATGTGGCTCCAGTTCTGTGGGGAGTTTTGCTGAAAGTTCTGAGTTTGGTATTGTGACTCAGGTGATACAGGGAAGGAATGTCTGTGCAGGGGCACTGCAGACTTGATCACCACGAATGGAGTTCACCTAGCCAGACTTGGACAATGGGCCTGGTTTTAGCTTCATGCTGCAATGATGGCAGGGCACGGTGGTCATCAGGGGGCTTTACATGGAGTCACGCAGGGCTACTGGTGGCCTGTGGTGCCTGTGGATGTCCTGAGCTGTGTTCAGCCTTGTTACACCTTCACCAGGGCTAGGAAAAAGATGCAGAGGCTGCAACCACTGACAGCTGAGAAGCCGTGACCAGTGATCTCAATGGATTTTAGTTGAGTTTAATCTCTGGCCCCAAGACGCAAGAGTGACCTTGGACTTGTTTAGTCATTATTATTTTTGTGCCACCAAAGAAGGTGCCTGCAGCTTTCAGAATATTGCATCTGGGCTGGTTTGGATCCCAAAATGTCCAGGGATACCCTGCAGTACTTGGTTGGTTAGCAAACTGCTTTCTTGGGGAAGGAAAGGAGAGAAAGAGTAGGAAGAATCTGTTTATTCCAGGAAATGTGTACCAACACTTTCTGTGACTGACTTCTCTTTGTGCTGCAGAGAGTTTTGCTCCAAGTGGTGAACTCGAGGAAGAAGTTGGCTGTGCAGAGACCTCACCTTCGGTGGTGTTTGACAACATAGAAAAATGCAGTCCAAACTGCTTACGTTTGCTGTTGGAGAACATCAGCGGCCTGACTGTAGATGAGGACTTCACTGTGGAAGTGATACCTGAAATAAATGTTGCTGTAGCTACCTTTATAAAAAGTATTGGTAAGAGAGGGGGACTCCATCCCTCATCGCCATGTATATGTACGAGTAACAGCTTTCAGAGCTTGATTCCTCTCCTGTGAGAGATCCAGACTGTTTTGTAAAAGTACCTGGGTGGCAGTCTCTCAGGAAAGATGGCTTACATACAGCTCCA